AATCCTGCATATTTTACTCGTGTATTAGAAAAAAGGTGCTTATTTATAGACTAAGAGAAAAGCCTTATGTTTCAAGTTAGCGGCAGAAATCAATCTTAGAGAGAGAAAGAATTTTTATCATACTTATCCAACTTTTAAGATACCAGTGGTTCAATTATGTCAGTGTCATTGTACAATTGAGAATTTGTAAATAAAGTTTTAAAAACATGGGCACGCCTTTCAAAATTTCCCTCAGCTCTTGCTGCGTTGATTTTACGATCTCGTCTGAAGTTTAATTTACTTTGAAACATTGGCACTTTTAACATCAGTTGCTATGGCGAGAGAATGTGGTGTAAAAAGCGGGAAGAGGACCGAGCCGTGATTTGAAAAAATTCCATTCTTCATGATTTTAGAGATAACGAAAAAGAAATACTTGAAAAGCAGCCATTAAGCAAACCCTGTATACAAGTAAACAGTTCCGGGAATTTCATAGCCCATGTTCAACCAAAACACGCGCACTGCGAAATTTATTCCAGTGTCTGATAGTTAACGTTTCTGTACATTTGAAAAATTATTTGAAATGAGCTGGTCCTTTGCTTCGCTTTTGTGAGGGATTTGTCAATGATGGAAATGCGAGATGATTTGCGAGAGGATGCCCTGGGTGATTGACTTTACGCCTGAAGTTAGCGAAGGCATCCTTTTGGTCAAACAGCCATTTTATTTTATGGTGGTTGATTTCAAACAACTGAATTTGTGAAGAAACGCAAAAGATTCTTCTTAGAGAGAACTGCAACGGCTTCCGTGAAAGCTGAATATAACCGTTTCCGAGAGAAAGTGTGAAATATTATTTTGTTTGATTGACACCTCCGTGATTAGTGCCTTTAGGTTGAAAAACAAATTGAGTTCAGAATGAGACCCCTTTTGATCAATATTATTTTCGGACAAGTTAATAAGACCGAGGTTTAGACCGAAATTCATGATGAAGTAATCAAGATCCGTAAACGCTGATATAAGCAAAAACTTATTTTGTGATCTTCATACTTAAAAACAAACAAACTGTTCCAAGAGGCCTTAAACTGCTGTCTAAAAGTAAAATTCAAAATCCAAGCTCTCGCCGATCAACGGCATCATCAGGGATAAGAAAATGTTACGAGCACGCTATATATATATATGCGAAGAAAGTGTACGGTGAAATGTGTAAAAGATACGACTATGTATGAAAGCTATATAATAAATAAACTGTGAATGGAACATAAGGCTCTACTGATGGACCTACTCTAGACAAAGGACCTCTAAGAGCGCTAAAGAATGGTCTAGAAAAGAAAATACTAAAAATAGAAGGTCTGCGAATTGATTACAGTCTTCCCGGGAACTGAGTATGGGCTTGTACTTTCTAATGTAAAATGCTTCATAAAGGCGTAGATTAGCGGGGTCGTTTTCGCTTATAATAATCTTGACATCAATGCCTTAAGGCCTCATTGGAACAGTTTGTATGTTCTTTCTTCCCACTTTGCTGATTTCGAACGGCTTCAATTACTTTGAAACAATAGCAAACGTAAGCTACAGTTGTAAATAGTCAGTCAAGTTTCTAAAGGTTTTAACGGTTCCAGACCTCATTCTCTCTAAGTAAACGTAGAATGTAACTTTGGCCTTACTCAAAAGAGGATTCTTTACATGATGACTGTCTTTGAAGACGGAAAGGGTGATGGACCAGATGGAGTGGCTTCTCTTTAAATAACAACAACAACAACAATTTAACATTTATATAGCGCAAACTACTATATAGATAATCAGTCGCGCTTTACAATCAGTTAAGGTGAGATCGGACGTCAGAATTCATCAGGCGCAATATGCAGCCACTTCAGTCCATGTATTGATCTCACCTTCCCTCCCCAATTCACCCTAGATTAGACACTACACAAAGATAGACCACAACACCGGGCACTACGTGCCCTACTCTTTTCGAAGAGTGTGTGGGTTCTTTAACGTCCCACAATTTTTATCACATATAAGGGCTTGTGAGACGGGACCTCCATTTATCGTCCCTATCCGAGAAGACTAGAAAGTCTAACCATTTGCAGATATTATTACAAAGGCAGCACTTTCTTCTCAGTTATTTAAAGACCCTGAGTGTTGGTCCGGCCGGAGTCGAACTCTCGACCTCCCGCACAAAAGTCCAGCGTTATACCAATTGAGCTAACCGGGAGGCGGAGAAATTAATAAATTAAGCGTGCTTGTGCCGATGGTAGCGAATAAGAACTGCCTTTTTCCTTCTCTCTTCCTTGTCCGCTGGGGTGGCAGGTTATTTACCTCCGGCAACGGTGTTTGGTTTGGACTCCACGTCCAGCGAAATAGCTGCAGAGTTGTCAAAATCGTACACCCGCTTTGTATACATCCTTAGCAAACAGGGCCATATTCATAAAGACGTCTTGGCGGCATCTGGAAGCCTTGACTCTCCGATAGCCATGATGACCTCATATAGCAGGATCTGAGGGTTCACCTTTTCCAAATCAAGAACACCAACTTAAAGAAAGAAACAAAAGATATTCCAGATCTGGACCTTTAGGGAGACGCCATAGGGGCTAAGAGTGTGCCTGTACAACATAAAGTCGATTCTACGCAAACTGTCTTTGACAAACACTATATGAAAATCCAGTGTCTGTTGCTAACGTATTTCTAACCATCTGGCTCCGGTTGTTCAAAGGGCGGATAACGCTATCCAACGGATAAATCGCTATCCAGCGGATAAGTGTTACCAAAACGTACTGCGCTATCTACCGGATAGAGATTTATCCAGTGTATAGCGTTATCCATCCTTCGAACATCTGGGGCCTGGTCGGTAACCCCTTACGATGAACACTAGAGCGAAGCAACCGCCTAAGGTAATTGGAACTTTCTTTGAAGCTCAATTCAAGGATGATTCCTCGCAGAGAGGAAACCATACATCGAGCCTAATCATGAGACTGAGAGTTCAAGCAAAGCTTTATTTTGACGGATATAAAATAACGGCTAAAAGCCGGTAGTTTTCTGTGAGACATTGATCATGAGATTGGCTCTTTTTAAACGTATGTATGCAGTAACTTTATCTGAAAAGTTTGTTCGTTGAAAAGTCGAAATGAAAACATCATCAAAATTTGCAACAATGGATTTTTGAGGTCAGTTCGTGAACTGCCCTTCTAAAAAGTAACTCCCAACCGGAAAGAGAGTTTTACTGATTTAGCAACTAGAACATTAAGACTAACTAAGGAATTGGTCTCAGTTCCAGGATCGGTGTGTTTTTGGAGAAATTAAGAAAAAATATTTTAGCTGTTCTGCCCCATAGACAAAATGGCCGAAAGTGTACCTTGACAATTCATCGGTTACTGCGTTTACATTGATTCTCATGAAGCATTGAATGCACCAGTTTTTGTATCTTTTTAATGGACTTTAAGTCTGTACAGAAACGTTTGTTTGTAAGCAAGGCTCCCCGCCGGGAAAAATTATCTATTGTTACCCTGGCAACAAAAGTGTTGCAACCTTTAAAAAGGGCGTTATTGTACATTCCTCCGGCTATTTAACTGCATGTAAAGTATGAAGTGGGTTAAAATTTTGATTTCCCAAGTTGTTTGATTCTTACAGAGACTCGTTCTTAAGGTAGCCTTTCACGGTATGACTCAAAAATAGCTTCAGTAAATCAAAAGCAAGAGAACGAGACCAAGACAAAGTCAAATTAAGAATTACTTTGAAGACGTACAAACTGAGAACCTACTCAAGACTATATCACTTTATGAAAATTATTCTTTTCCCGTACCCTTTTCAGCCAAAAAGCTGTCGCCAGTTCTGAATATAAATCTTTCATGAGACATGACTACAGTCAATGGCATTTCAAGTTATTTTGAAATTTTAATGAGGATTACATCATATTTTACTGTTTTGACCTTCCCCCCTCTCATTCGGCTTATTAAAATCCCTGCTTTGTCTTTCTTCCAGTTAATAATCTCTACTTCTACCAGTTGAATACTGGGATGATGCATATACTTATTTCCAGAGAAAAAAGCACAATGGTATCTCTAAATAAGATTTTTTTTCAGTTGTAAACTCTCCAATTGTGAATTCCCTCTTTCATCGCCAACATGTTTTACATAAACAGAAGAGGAAATCAAAAATAAGGAACGATGGTTTTACTTAGCCAGCCGG